GCTGCTGGTTAACCTATTGATCCCAATTAGAACGTTGTGGTTAACCGCAGACACTTCTCAATTAAACCGAATTCCGGGTGGCCGCCGTTTGTATGTCGACCACGAGGCAGCGGCCATTTTAAACCACGCGAAAGCCCAGCGGTGTTCGGCTCTATTTTCATGGAACTAAAAACGGACACTTTTTCTGCCGAACACCGCTGAAACAACGAGACGCCTGGCTGCCTCCGGGAAAACGTACGAACACCGGCCGTTCGGGAGTTTTACAGCACATGAAAAGACTTAACCCAGATCCTGTTTGACCCTCAATGCGGAGCTTCTGTCTCGTTATTGGGGGGATTTCTTCTTTGTGCTTAGAGACTGCTGGATGGAACCGAAAGCCGCTTGGTGGATATCGTTGTTCGGCGGCTTGCAGCAGTTCGTGGATTTCCGTTTGGGAGTTTGGAGCCTTTCACGGATCCCGGTCGGGAGATTACCGCTTCCCCTGGTTATGGTTCGTGTATTACAATTGATGCGAACGGATTACTGAATTTGCGAAAGGGGAAGGTGAACTAAATGGCGGTTCCTCTTAAAGACACCAGGGGTGTCTTAACATGTCTATTTCTAGTCTTGCCTTGCTCTCCTAGTCTTGCCTTGCTTCAGTACTGGATACATACCTGCTGCAGAGGCTCCCTATTCAGCTCCTGGGAGGTCTGCTTAATTACCTGCTCCTAGTTCCTGGGATCTGCATAAGCTGAATCAGGGTTCTCGTATGTGGCTACACAAACGCTGGTGCTCAACACTAGGGGGCGTGCGGTTACCCTGCACCAGACCCTGCTAATCCACCTCCACACTGTGACTCCTACTCTGAACATCAGGCACTCAGGGGTCCCGGTCCACGCACCGCCGCCCAGACGAGGTCTGGGTCCCGGGCACCGGACCGCCACCCTGACACTTGGGCTGTCAATCTCGCACCCATTCTCTTATTTCATTCGGAAGTCCATTGTAGAAATGTTCCGGCATGAAGAGTTGGGTGATCTCCTCCGGGGACTTGGCCTGTTGGGAACTGAGCCAGTTCTGGGTGGCCCTCGTGATGTGGCATGCCCACTCGGCATGGGAGTCCTTCTCCCCTTTCTTGGTTTCCCTGGCCAGGAGTAACTGCTTGATGAAGGGGTAGTTCCGGAGCTGCCTTCCCCCCTAATTTGCTGGCCAGGAGGGGGACCCAATCAGTGGGGTCGACTGCTTGTAAAAGGCATTGGCACTCGAAATCTTGTAGAAAGTAATCAATGCCTTCTTCCGCCTCCTTGAACTCTTTGAAGGCATTGTACGGTAACTTGCGGGCCGGGGCGAGTGTGCTTTCCGGTGCCCTTCCTTCCATACTTCCCCTATCTGGAATTTTGGGGGTTGCCCTACTCCTCTTGGCAAGGAAATAGGCTGCACCTCCGAAAGGGTCCTGCTGACGATCTCCTCGGAGGGTGGCTCTCTGTAATACGCCAGGCGCTGTTCCACCTCCTTGTGTACTTCCTCCTCTTCTCAAGCCCCTGGCTGCAGGGTAGTTGCCTCACTGCGCGCCTGGTCGTCCTCCATGAGCGCAGCAGTCAATTCGGGATTGTCACGACCGCCAGATGTTATCCCTCTGGCTTCACACAAGTCTTTCAGTGTAGGTCGTTTTAGAGCACTGTAGTCCATGGGTCTGTTGGCAGGGACATAGGATCCCGCCGCTTGCCACCAGTTGTAGCGGGACCTGAGTAATCTGGCTGGTTATCCTCTTTGGTTAGAGTAGGTCAGACCCATTTCCCCCAGTAAAAGGACGGGACACAGTTCCAGGATACAACGTTTGACAATGTTTATTGGACACACAGCTTTTTATGCACAGACCCCTGCAGGGGGAGTCTCCATTCAGACCAAAACACAAACATACATACAGGAGGGGGCTGGGAAACTGATAACTATCTCCTGCTCTGGGAGATACTAACAGGACACAGGGACACGCATGAGTACACTTCACATATGGGGGGGGACTTTGGGGCTTGGCGCCCCAGGATGGAAGGGGGTACAGGGTTACATTTTATATGGGGGGGATAGGCCTGGGTCCCATCTGGGATCCCTGCAAAAAGTGGGGTGATCGGATGTACAGAGCCAGAGATATCAGTGTCGGAAGTCTGGGGCTCAAGGCTCTGTACATGCCCGGAATCAGTTCTGTAACAAAAAGACCCCAATGTGACAAATTGCCAATTGCCACTGGCTTTCTATGTGCCCAAACTGCTCTGTTCTCCAGGCTTATTGAAAATACTTGCTTGCCCCTCTTGCCTAAGGACTATGGCCCTTTTAAAACATTATTTTGAACTCATGGACTTTTAAAAGGCTGTTCCTGGCCTTTAAATGCTTTGGGAAAGGATTGGTACTTTTTATATGGCACTTCGGATACAGCCGAAGTAGCCGCCATTCGACAAACGAACACGTGGCGGCAGCCATTTTAATTCGGTCGAAAGCGGTCAGCAGTGTGTGCCGTTAAATCTCTGGAAATGAAATCGGCTACACGATGGCACGAACACCGATGAACCTTACCTTCGTTTCCACTTCGACAGAAGTCGAAATGCGTTCGACTATTCGAACGCCGCATTCGAATGGGACTTAGTTGTTTTTCAGTGCAGAAATAGACCGGCCGCACAGCCTGAATCTGTGGAACTGTTTTGGGCATGCAAACAGGCGTGCGGTCGGTCCAAAGAGACTTTTTACTATCTCTGGAACCCCTGAACGGATCTACACGAATTTTGAATGTTTGTCCCCAAGATATACTGGTTATAAAATATGATGTAAAAGGAGTTATAAAAATGTATAAAGTGTAATTTTTCAGCTTGGAGATAATTGAGTAGATACAGTAAGTAACTCAATTATCTCCTAAGCAGAAGGGAGGAATGTTCTGTAATTGCTGGATGTGTTTCTATTGTACCATGGTGTTTGATTGGCTGCTGTACTTGCATTGTTGGTGCCCCACCAGGTCGAGTGGGTGGTGACAATACTGTAAAATCCTGCATAAAAGCAGCAATAAACACTCAGTGGAGTCAGTTCTTCTTCACTCTTCAAAGCGTAGCTTTGTCTCGTTAATAAAAGGGAACCTGCTCAGCTAAATCACTAGCTCTTTTCAGAGCTCTACCTCTCTACTGCTCCAAGGATTCAGTGGATGGGACTTCGCCTCTCCACTACAGCCCAGCACCCTGCCCGGAGGAAGGACGTCTCCAACGGCAAATACTCCTCTCCACCCTGGGTAGCCGTTACAAGTTCCACGGTGTTGCTTGGTTTAGTCCGGTGAATTCAAACTTCGCGCCTAAACCAAGCAACAACCAATCAGCCAAACTGGCGCGAACCAAATTGCGCCAATCGGCGTTAGGGAAAGGAAGGAGTTTCGCAGCCCAATCAGAAGATAGGGCACGAAACCCGATGTCACCAATCAGCTGAAAGCTGCGAAACGTATTTGCGCCAATCAGCGCCCAGGGACGGGAGAGCCTCGCAGCCCAATCAGATGAAAGGGCGCGAAACCCTGTTTGAATGAGCGCTCATACTTGGATTGGTCGCTCGCTCCCTGCGGCGACCAATCAGCACTTTGTTCGCGAGGGCCAACCAGGAGAATGGCGCGAACCCAGTTTGAATGGACGCACCCTCTCCCATTGGTTGGCGCGGACTTCCATGTGGCCAGCTGGAGCCCTGTGGTCGCGAGGCTGACTCGCAGCCCCAGGGGCTCACTGGGCTGGTGCGCGTCTCTCACCCAGGCAGCCATGAGCGTAACCTCTAAGCTCCCAGGTGGGGGACAGGGATGAGGGACTACGGGTAGGACAAGGGAAGGGAGGAGTGATTATAGCTCTGTAGGGTGATCCCTGACACCGGGATCAAAGTTAGCGTACAGAGGCCGTTCGGGAGACGCCGCTCGTTCCCCTGCGGTCTGCCTTTTTCACACCTCATTTGCGAGGGGTGAACTTTCTAATTGGAGCGTCATGGTGGTCCGGCACTGTTCGGGGGACGAATGCTCCCCCTGGTGGGCGTTCGGCAATACAAACCGGCGGCCACCCAAGGGAAGCACACACTGCTCGTTCCCTTGCGGTTTGTGGTTTTCACACCTCATTTGCATGGTGTGAACATTCTAAGTAAACGTTCTAACTGAGGTGCCGGGGTGGTCCGGTGCACGAGGCTCCGTGCGCCAGAGCACCCGGGTCGGTCAAAAGGTGTAGTGTAGGGTTTTACAGGCAAAAATATAGGGAAAGGAATAGGAAAGAGGGGACACACATTCTAATAGGCACATGCACACACACAAAAGAAACAAGGCAATTTACAGTTTAGGCAATCCCACCAAACAAACCCTGCAGGCAAATCTCAATCCGCACTAACACGACTTTATTAATAAAGAAAACAGGTTGCTTTAATTACGGTGAGGGAAGTTAGAGGCTGAACGATGTCAAAACCTGTGCACCCTGCATTTTTTTTGGTGGATTTTTAGGAATGGATTCTCTGGTTTGAAATCCATTTTAAAAAATATATATTTCCAAGCCAGAATCTATGTCAAAATTCTTAGTGAAGACCACACACAGAAAATAGGCCATAAATGTCCAGTGAGTGTAAAGAGAGAGTGAGTTAAAGACGACAAATCTCTGTCCAATAAAGGTCGAACACGGATCCAGTTACATTGTGTTTTATCAAAGAATTCACATTTTGTACAATTAACAGGATCATAATACAACATGAGAAACCCACAAAACATTGTGCCACAGGCCTGCGTGGAATTTATTGCTTTAATTGGTGGCTTAATGCCTGGCAGATAAGGCACATATTACATGGTGAAAGGAGGCAGACTGGGTGTGGAACCTGGGTCACCAAGGATAAAGGTGATGTTTGAAGCTACCAGACAGGAGCTCCACATTAAGGGCACCTTACTGGGGTCTTGATGAGGCACTTACAGAAGGATTAGGGAAAGCCTCGGGAGGCTCCTGGAGAAAAGTCCTGCTCTGCGCCAGCTTGGGCGCAGTCTCTCTCTAGGTCCCTCCATGACCGCTATTCTGTAGAGGCAAACCCTGCAGTGCAGATTTACTGATGGTGCCGTATGCTTGAGTATAGCTCTGCAATGAGGCCTTGGGGTCGCCAGCTGCTCCGACGTTGGCCGTACCCTGGAACATTTTCCTGCTGAATTTCTGAGCAGAGCGATTATCGCGGGGCTGAGGGACAGGTGTGCGCTGGTTCTGTAAAGACAGAAAAAAAAGAATCTGTAGTGGAACCTACCTTTCTACACAGGTTGTGTGTACCTACTCCAGTGTGGAGTATCTGGGAGAGTAATATGTACTCTATGTAACAGCAGGGAGTACTCTGCTACTACTAGTACTACTCAATGGGAGAGCAGTGTGTATTCTGTGTAACCACTACTACAAAAACACTACTACACCTACTACTCAATGGGAGAACAGCATCTACTCCATGTAACAACACCGAGTACACTGCTAGTACTAGTACTACTCAATGGGAGGAGGAGTATAGCCGACAGGGTGAGCACACTCCATCCACACATATTGCCCCTCCTCACAAGTCTAGCACAGATGATGCAGAGAGCAGAGAGAATTTGCAGGCATTTCGGTTCTGGATTGCCCCTATAGGTGGGATGTTCTCTCTGTAATGGTACAAGTGAGCAAAAACTATTTTGAGACCTTAGCAGGAATTTACCTAGGGGCAAATTACTGAGTTTCTCTAAGCTTTTGTCTGTTCTCATATCCTTTGTTTTTGTAGCACAGGCGACGGCTGCACTCACTGCTTCCACTTACCAGTCTAGCACTGACTGCAGCCACACTCACTGGTCCCAAAGGTACTAAGTCTTTCCGTGTTAAAGAACTGTTAGAAGCAGCTGTCCTAGCTTGCTGAGCAAGGGAAAAAGAGCGGGTCCGGGCAACAGGCGCAGTCTTTCCTCGCAGATCCGTACTCTTCCTATTCTGAAAGAGAAATCATGACGTAAACAGACAAGAAGAGACAATTCGCATTTATATACTATTTATAGAGACTGGGAGCCATTAAATATATATTGCATTTAACATCACATCCATCCCCTACTATACTTACATTACACATTCACAAGTACTAATCAATCAATGTATACTGTCTGTCACACGCCCATCATCCATCCCGAGCGTACATCCATCCCGCATACTGCGCGTACATCCATCCCGCATACTGTATTTTAAACAAGAATTGTCTGCGGGAGGTTTCCTCTGTACCCCCTTGTGGTCACCCTACTAAATCTATACTTCCTATGGGGTGTTGATCTATGCACATACCGGTTCCTTTTTAGTATCCCAGTCCATACTTGTAATGCTTTTTTTGCATCCTGTTTTATAAATACAAATTTCTCTCCTTTTTTTCCCCACCGGAGTGTCCGGAAGTTTTGTTGTTATGCACATACTTAGGGGCATAATATATATGTATGGTAGGCAATATTTCGCATAAATAACTTAGACCACACAATAAACACAGACACAGTTTTTTATATTTCGATGGGCAAGGGTGTGGTGTTTATTTAACCACTTAAGGACTGAGCCAAATGTACACGTTGTGATCAAAACAAAACGTAAACAAAACCTGGAATTTGCGCTATATGTCTGTTCAGGCGTAATTCGACTCTTTCATGTTATGTGTACCCATAAACAGGGGAAACAGGGCTTTCATTTAACATCAAATATTTAGGTATGGAACATAATTTAATATGAACAAAATATAAAACAAATTGACAAATTAAGAAATGTTATTTTTTTTTAGTTCTGCATGGCATTTTAACCGTGAATGTCACAATACTGTTAGCTGTTACTGCAATAAAGTACACATATTTGTATTCAACGATGTCTCATGAGTAAAACAGTACCCCCAATGTACAGGTTTTATGGTGTCCTGGAAAGTTATAGGATTAATTATAGGGCTTGCGAGCCAAATTCTGCCTGGGCTGTCGGGCAGGTCCCTCAGATTGTAATTACGGTAATAATAAAATTACTTAATTATATAAAAATATTACATAAATATATTTGTAGAATAAAAAAAATTAAAAAAAGTAAAAAAAAATAATAAAAAAAATATATATATATGTCCAATGCTTGCACTTCAGTGGTAAATCTATATAGCCCGGTGCTTGTCAACATAATTGATAGAAATAGGATAGAGATAGCACTCCAAGGACTTCATAAATATGGTGAAAAAATAACTTAACTTTTATTCAGCAACTGCCAGAGATGATCAACGTTTCAGTTCTATGTCAGGATAAAGGTGCAATATAATTACCACAGTATAAATCAAAAAGTAAATCAATAAAATACATTGTATACAGCTGAAGCTTACCTCTGACAGAGTGATTTACTTTATTTATACTGTGGTAATTATATTGCACCTTTATCCTGACGACAGTTCTGACATAGAACTGAAACGTTGATCATCTCTGGCAGTTGCTGAATAAAAGTTAAGTTATTTTTTCACCATATTTATGAAGTCCTTGGAGTGCTATCTCTATCTATCTATCTATCTATATATCTATATCTATGTTAAAATGCCATTAGGCCTGAATTTGTGGGAGGAGTTATGGCCCCTATTTAAACTCCTACCCCGTACTCACCTTTAAGTTCAAGCTGATTGTCCCAGCACTTCCGGTCCGTAGTTCCCGCCAAAATTCCAACCTCCAGGAGCAGTTTGTCGCCAGCAGCTCTCATGCCTCCGACCTCCGTGCCAGCCAACCGGCTTCTTACAGACATCGACACTCGGCTTCCGGTCACAAGGCCGGCACGTCGTAAGCATAACGTGGGAAATGGCGTTCGGCTATTTCCCACGTTCGGGCCTAAAACGCGGGGATAGGCTCCCTTCATAATACTTACCCGTTCGTGTACTTCTGCGGTTCGTGCGGGTAACAGCCGACCGCAGAGTACACACACCTTTGTTTGTTCTTTCGCATAACTAAACTGCCAAATGCAATCTAACATACTCGTCAATTAATTTGTATGGTTAAACAGCCGACCGCTATGTACATGGCTTTCATTTATTCTTTTGTGCGGTCCATTAACCGACCGCAGGTATTTCTTTTCTGCTTACCGTCCTCTCCATTCGTTCGTATAGCTGAACGCAGGAGGCTTCAATGTCTAAGTTCACTATTCTGTTGTTTAATGTGTTTCATTATGCCATTCGTTTAAACGAAATAACTCACCTTTCACTTTTTCTGCATCCTATATTTTAATGGGTTAAGCATATGGCTCATCAGTTACTACTGGATAATATATATTAATTCTGTTTTTCACTATTCCTTGGCTATGGTCATATTTATTTATGGGACACTTAATTTTTACACAGGGGAAATCTTCTTAAAGGCACGGTAAGGTATACTTAATACACCACTCGGCACCATTATTTACTCCCGCTGGAACTTAGTCTCTCATAATATAAATTCATTTTGTTTCCCTTATTCACAAACTAGTCTCTCTGCATAACTAAGTTTGCTCCGTTACACTACGTCTTTATCTTTGTTTTGGCATGTCATAGGTTAAGCTCTAATAGTTCCTTTTCACCAGGCTCATTACAGTCCATAAGCACGATTGCAAATCTGTTTCCTAAAACCTTATATACTGGTTTGTTAGACTTAGTATGCGTATGTTTTTAGGCTCTACTACATTTCCTTCTAACAGTCTCCAGGAAGTGTTACCCCAGTATCCTGTATTACTGTATCAGGTTTACCAGTTGTTTTTGTTTTCCAGTTGAATTTGTCTTTCCCTGAGGCCTCCATGGCCTCATTCAACCTCCACCCTAACCCACCCTCCAAGGTGGGTTCTAAACTTCAAACCAGGCCTCTGCAAACAATCCCCTCCTAAACAAACACCACTTTGCTACTACTAATTGTAACGATACATTGCTTGTCTTTCGTTTCTACATTTCATTACTTAGACCTGCGTCAATACCTCAGTCTCGCCAAGTTCTTCGCCATCAACCACTAGCAGCCCACCTGGTATCCCGTATTTCAGTACCAGGTATTGTTAAAGTTCAAATAATTTTTAAAAAGGCCTCACTCTGCCTTCTTATCATTTAAATTCACAATTGTGGATAACCAGGGGCTTGTCTCTTATTATGGACCAATGTTCAGGTCCCTCATATTACACGGGTTCTTACGTTACTGTATCATTTATACCCACCTATCCATACGTTCTACATTTTTACACCAGGCATAAGAGTGGCACGCTTAGGCTCCACTAGCATCTATCTTACTCCTAGGATACCTTGGCCGAGGGGGGGGAGAGGAGAGGAAGAGAGGAAGAAAGAGAGAGAGAAAGAGAGAAAGAGAGAGAGAGAGCGAGAGAAAGAGAGAGAGAAAGAGAGAGCGAGAGAAAGAGAGAGAGAGTGAGTGAGTGAGTGAGTGTGTGTGTGTGTGTTGAAGACTTCCTGTGACTCGTCCAAAGCAATAGGACCAATACTCAAGGTTAGTATCTACATACGTTCAAGAACATCATTCAAGAAGACAAGCCCCATCAGGTTAGAGAACTAGCATTTAGGGTTAGGCGCTGGCCTTAGCTATCCTAAGTAATACACCTGTCCCGTGAGGTCTACTCCCCACCTCAACACAGAGGTTCAGCCCCACTACCAAATCATAGTTAGCCACCTCGCTCGCCCTTCTTTAGGGCTACAGTTAGGGCCAAAATCATAGGTAGAGCCTCTCACCATCACTTGGCACTAGCAGGGCCTCACCTGTCACTTGGTTCTAGTTAAATTCTTCGCCTCGGTACTAGTTAGCAGGCCAGTTCTCCGAAGGTCTTATTCCCCCCTCCACTACACCCTACTTATTCAAATCATTATCTCCAGAGGAATCCCTCACCCCTTCTACCCCCAGATCCCAGAGATATTGGGCTATTCCAAAAATATCAGCAGAGCTCGGTCTAAGGTGTTATCCCTTTTCCAGCTACCTCTAGAAAGGCAGAATTATACAGGCTCCTGACGGCACAGGCTAATACTCTAGTATTAAACGTTTGATCATTGAACTCGCTGCACTTCATTCTTCCTCCATTCCCAGCATCAACTCTCTCATACCCGCTGAGTAGTTGTCACCGCAGTATGCTAAATTTGACGACGCCATGCAAGCTATTATCACAGCAGGCAGAAGGCATGGTTAAGCAAGACCAATATTACCAACGCCTCTAAACGGCTAGCCATTCCCCGCTCACTATGGCACTTGCACGGTGTTAAACGGAGGGAGAAGTATTTTTCTCTACCCGGCTCACTTTCGGGTCCAGAAGCAGCCCCAAGCTCTATGACATTTTTGCAGAGACCCTCTGCTGGCTGCTCCTAAGCATTATCCACTACCTGCCTGTTCATCCCTCCAATATCAGAAGCTCTCACCAACAATCTGCACAGACGCAGCAGCACACACAGGATTCGCAGCTACTTTCGGCAACCACTGGTTAGGGACAAGTGGCCCACTGAGACGGATGCGTTGCCGGCCTTTAGAGAAAATCCACATAGTTTGAGATATACCCATCATGGCGGCTGCCCATACATGAGGTCATCTCTTGACTGGCAAGGCAGTGTATACGCTACTTAGACTATTCCGCACCTCGCAAAATCATTGACAAGGGCCGGTCATCCTAGTTAATTATGAGGCTGATTCGCAAACTGACTTGGCTGGCAGCAACCTCTCCGTTCCCTCTAGTCTGCACACACATTCCTGGTGTCCAGAACACAGCTGCTGATGCTCTTTTTCACGCTTTCAATTTCAGGTCTTCTTCCAGGCTCTCCCTATGGCCCATCACCTACTTTCCAAGATACCACCTGTCCACTTGCTAATCCTGGATTAAGCAGGCTATTACACCATGCACAGGCACTCACGCACCACACACTACACCACTATCACTTACTCTAGGGTACCGACTATTTTTGTACAAATTACCTGCAGAGCTTTACCTACAAGGAGACTTTTTCTTTAAAACATGGTGGCTTTTTCCTCCTTCTGTCACCTACACCTTAAATGTATCACACAATACCATAAATTTTACCTTATCGGTGTCAACACCACGTCCTCACAACCTTTCCTAATCACGCACCCTTCTATACTTCCTACCCTATCAAGAAATCCTCCAGAGTATTTATAAGGTTACAGTTCCCCCTGGCACTACCAGATTATCAATAGATGGTCCTACTTTTAGGCTACTTAGCAACCTACTGGACACATCCCCGTTTGCCTGGAACGCAAATCTGGTCATTAAAACCGCCATCTTTATGACTTTCTACGGTGTCCTCAGATCTATGGAGTTCACAGTCATACGTCAAGTAGATACGGCATTATGCCTTAAACTTTCTCACCTAAAGAAAGTAGAAGATCACTACATCCTTTCATTACCTTCCACCAAAGCCAATCACACCACTTATCGAACTCATTCCCCTCTTCCATACCGAGAATGTTTGGTGTCCAGTTAAAATACTTGACATACTTGTGTTGTCTCACCACTCGCACTCACCTGTCTCTCTACTATTACTACTCCAAGGGCACCCACTCATCACAGCCAAATTCATTTCTCACGTCAGAACCCTACTATCAAGGTTGGGCTACAACCCGGCTTCCTTCTCTGGTCACTCTCTCGTATAGGGCAGCTTCTTCAGCTTCAAGCGCGAACACACCAGTCCACATCATTAAGAGACTGGGCCGATGTAAATCCTCAATTTATTAATACTCATATATCTCGACCAGAGAGGGAGCTCCTTCAAGCCTTCAGAAATCTTGCTTTGTAAACTTGCCATAAAGTGTGTTAACTTTGAATCTTCTCTTTGCCCTCTTTTTATTACAGGCCTACTCATACGTTGGTTTCGGCACACCTCAACCAACTTTACATCTCCTTCTACATCCCATTACGAATTAGAAATTCCGAGCACAAGTTAAAAGGCCATTAGGCCTGAATTTGTGGGAGGAGTTATGGACTCTATTTAAACTCCTGCCACCTACAAGCTGATTGTCCCCACCCACCTACACCCATCTATTCCTACTCGTACGTTGGTTTCGGCACACCTCAACCAACTTTGCATCTCCTTCTACATCCATACGTATTAGAAATTCCGAGCACAAATATATATATATATATATATATATATATTTATTTAGAGAGATATAGATACATATACCTTGGAAGCTAGGAACACCTCCAGTGGCAGTTTACTGCTGCCTAATTCACATTCATCACGTTTGACGTCTTCACGCTTGGCTGAAGACATTAAACGTACTATCAGGACACAGGAGGCACTGTGAACGTGCCTCCTGTGTCCTGTAGTAACCCGGAGCCTGTCAGCAATCAGAACCGACAGTGTGTGAGATAAGGATCTCCTGCACACAGTGTCGGCTCAGGCTGACAGGCTCAAACAGTAAGTACACTTATTTTAAAAATGAATGAGAGAGAGTGAGTGTGAGTTAGTGTGTGCACCACAGAGCGATGACGCTTCTCAATGAGATGCGTCTGATTGAGCACTGCTATTTTTTCATTTTGACCAAAAAAGGTTGCCTGGCCTGACAGGAGCTCGGCGCTGGAATGGAAGTAAGTTTGAATGATAAAAAGCACTCATTTATTTTTTTAATGGCAAACTAATATAATAGCAATAAAGAAGGCTAGGGGACCTGTCTTTCTTTTTTATATGTTGACTATAGAGCTCCTTTAATGCCATATTGTTTATGCTCACAAGCACATTATAATGTTTAATAAAGACCTTTTATTTCACGATTTTTTGTGACAATCTTCCATCCACTATACTAATCACCTCTTGCAGATCATAACCATTGTGATTTCTGGATTCCTTTGTTATTTGGGTCTTTATTGTTAGATTCTTAGATTTTTTGTTAGCTTCTTCAAAGTGTGCGATTGGAGATATTCTGGAGAGTTTTACGAATTCCTCAACTGTCTAGGATAGACATAAGGCTATCCTAACTATAAGATAAGGCCAGGGACTAATGAAAGTATTTAGAAAATTGGGCAGACTAGATGGGCCGAATGGTTGTTATCTGCCGTCACATTCTATGTTTGTATCTGTTTCAGTTCTTTTTATGACCCATTGGCTCATGCTGTTTTGTTTATTGACTATACATTCACTATACATACACCTATTCTAATAAACCACTTTATATTGTTCGAACAGTCATTACACACTTAGCTGGGATTATCATTCTGGCGGACTGCCAATACTGTGAATTGCCTTGTTTTATGTGTGCATGTGCCCTCCTAGAATGTTTGTTTCCCCTCTTTCATTTCATATTCCTCTTTCTGTAATTTGGACCATAAAATCCTGCAATATACCTTTTGACCGCCCGGTGGCACTCTGGCGCACAAAGCCCCGTGCGCCGGACCACCCCGGCACCTCACTTAGAACATTTACTTAGAATGTTCACACCTCGCTAGCGAGGTGTGAAAACCACAGACCGCAAGGAAACGAGCGGTGCGTTCTTCCCCTGGGTGGCCACCAGTTCTTATTACCGAACGCCCACCAGGAGGAGCATTCGTCTCTTGAACCGTGCAAGACCGCCCCAATGCTCCAATTAGAACGCTAACGAGGTGTGAAAATGGCAGACCGCAAGGGTACAAGCGGCGCGTGCTTCCCCTGAGTGGCTGCCGGTCCGTATCACCGAACACCCACCAGGGGGAGCATCTGTCTCCCAAACTGGCCTGCTTACACTGTCTTCGTTCCCAGTGTCAGGGATCATCCTACCTGCTCCCCAACGGAGCTATAATCCCTTATCCCTTTTCTTTTATAATTCCTCATCCCTTTTCTGTTCCCCAGCCCCCTCCTGGATGTGTTTGAGTTGGGTTGGAGGTCTGTGCATAAAAAGCTGTTTGCCCAAATAAACATTGTCAAAAGATTGTATCCTGGAACTGTGTCCAGTTCCTGGGGAAATGGGTTTGACCTATCCTAACCAAAGGGGATAACCAGCCAGGTTACCCAGGTCAGCTACAATCATTCTCTCTAAAATGGTATTCCCTTCTAGACTAATCTATCAATATATACCTTCCACATATATCTAGTGATTTAACATTGAATAACGTGAGAGGCTAAAGTCAAATCTTTATATCACGTGTTCTATAGTCATTGTACATCAGCTAGGGAAACTCTTGATCACAAACTTGGTTTTTCCATCCCAGATTCTCACACACTTACTCCATGAGGTTCACCACTGTCCATCCCTGGCTGTGAAGCTACTGACTGCTCTTGATTCATCTGATGCACGGACTTCTTATGTTGAGGGAGCCCGGCAGTCTCCTGTACCGCTCGCTTATCCTCTGATCCAGCCAAATGGGAAACAAAAGACGTGCGGAAATAATTATTCTAATTACGTCAGAAGACAGGTGGGACAGATAAGAAGGAGATAGAATCCAACACCAGAAAGGACAGATAGTAATGGGGATGGAATCCAACACCAGAGAGGACAGATAGTAATGGGGATGAATACCAACACCAGAGAGGACAGATAGTAATGGGGATGGAATCCAACACCAGAGAGGACAGATAGTAATGGGGATGGAATCCAACACCAGAGAGGACAGATAGTAATGGAGATAGAATACAACACCAGAGAGGACAGATAGTAATGGGGATGGAATCCAACACCAGAGAGGACAGATAGTAATGGGGATGGAATCTAACACCAGAGAGGACAGATAGTAATGGGGATGGAATCCAACACCAGAGAGGACAGATAGTAATGGGGATGGAATCCAACACCAGAGAGGACAGATAGTAATGGGGATGGAATCCAACACCAGAGAGGACAGATAGTAATGGAGATGGAATCAACACCAGAGAGGACAGATAGTAATGGAGATGGAATCCAACACCAGAGAGGACAGATAGTAATGGGGATGGAATCTAACACCAGAGAGGACAGATAGTAATGGGGATGGAATCCAACACCAGAGAGGACAGATAGTAATGGAGATGGAATCCAACACCAGAGAGGACAGATAGTAATGGGGATGGAATCCAACACCAGAGAGGACAGATAGTAATGGGGATGGAATCCAACACCAGAGAGGACAGATAGTAATGGAGATAGAATACAACACCAGAGAGGACAGATAGTAATGGAGAGAATACAACACCAGAGAGGCACAGATGGGGATGGAATACAACACCAGAGAGACAGATAGTAATGGAGATGGAATCCAACACCAGAGAGGACAGATAGCAATGGAGATAGAATACAACACCAGAGAGGACAGATAGTAAATGGGGATGGAATCCAACACCAGAGAGGACAGATAGTAATGGGGATGGAATCCAACACCAGAGAGGACAGATAGTAATGGAGATGGAATCCAACACCAGAGAGGACAGATAGTAATGGGGATGAATACAACACCAGAGAGGACAGATAGTAATGGAGATGAATCCAACACCAGAGAGGACAGATAGTAATGGAGATAGAATACAACACCAGAGAGGACAGATAGTAATGGGGATGGAATCCAACACCAGAGAGGACAGATAGTAATGGGGATGGAATCCAACACCAGAGAGGACAGATAGTAATGGGGATGGAATCCAACACCAGAGAGGACAGATAGTAATGGGGATGGAATCCAACACCAGAGAGGACAGATAGTAATGGGGATGGAATCCAACACCAGAGAGGACAGATAGTAATGGGGATGGAATCCAACACCAGAGAGGACAGATAGTAATGGGGATGGAATCCAACACCAGAGAGGACAGATAGTAATGGGGATGGAATCCAACACCAGAGAGGACAGATAGTAATGGGGATGGAATCCAACACCAGAGAGGACAGATAGTAATGGAGATAGAATACAACACCAGAGAGGAGATAGTAATGGGGATGGAATACAGGACAGATAGTAATGGAGATGGAATCCAACACCAGAGAGGACAGATAGTAATGGGGATGGAATCCAACACCAGAGAGGACAGATAGTAATGGGGATGGAATCCAACACCAGAGAGGACAGATAGTAATGGGGATGGAATCCAACACCAGAGAGGACAGATAGTAATGGAGATAGAATACAACACCAGAGAGGACAGATAGTAATGGGGATGGAATCCAACACCAGAGAGGACAGATAGTAATGGGGATGGAATCCAACACCAGAGAGGACAGATAGTAATGGGGATGGAATCCAACACCAGAGAGGACAGATAGTAATGGAGATGGAATCAACACCAGAGAGGACAGATAGTAATGGGGATGGAATCTAACACCAGAGAGGACAGATAGTAATGGGGATGGAATCCAACACCAGAGAGGACAGATAGTAATGGGGATGGAATCCAACACCAGAGAGGACAGATAGTAATGGAGATGGAATCCAACACCAGAGAGGACAGATAAGGAGATGGAATCTAACACCAGAGAGGCCAGATAGTAATGGGGATGGAATCCAACATAAAGAACAGAAATCAAGAGCCAATAAAAGGAAGAACACACAAGGCACAGCATGAGAATGCAATGCATATTACTCACCGTTTGTCACACTGTGTGTTATAGGGTTGTACGAGGGTGGTCTGGATTTTGGGTTGGGCTGGGAGATGTCAGATTTAGACACTGCAGTGGTGGTGGTAGCCTGTGGTACACTGCTCCCCGTAGGCTCCAGATTCCTGCCAGCAGGATTGGTTTGTGCTTTGGTTGAAGTGGGACCAGCTTTCCCTTGATCATTTTTGGGTTCCACTGAGTTACTGGGAACAGAGCTGACACTTTCTTTCAGAATTTGTCTTTTCTGTTTTCTTGTGTTTACTTTCCTCTCCAGCATCATCTGTAAGGTGAGAGAATCAGATAATACTCTGTTAGAACCCTCTGGAGACAGAGGGCAGGGTACACGCACGAGCTAGGGATAAATGGGCGCGCTGACAGTATTATTTAGGTCAAAGACTTGTACTGTACTAGATACCACTTCTGTCGCGACCTGCGTGTCTCCTTGACTATATTTACTGGTGACCTGGGAGTCCCACTTTGTATTTGACAAATTCTTCAAAATAAACATAAAAAAAAATAAAAAATATTTTCCAAAGATAAAAATATTTCAGAAATGGGGGTAGGGGTGGCTGGTTTTCTAGTGCTGGCTAACTACCACACAGTTAACACTTGCAGTATTGATAGCACATTTGAAGTCAGTGTTGCAAAATTCCAACATTGGTAAATAGTTGGGACAGTGCCGGACTTAGACTACAGTGAATGTGTTCCCCCACTATGTCTCTCTTCCTCCATTCTGCAGCATTCCTGTCTCTCAGTCACTCAGTACATGGTGAATATTACCACAGACTATAGTGAAGGTGTTCCCCCACTATGTACTGAGCGACTGGGAGACAGGAAGGCTGCCAAATAGAGGAAGAGAGACAATCTAATTCTGTTTTATTCTATTTGTTGGGTTACTGATTGAGGTTTTTAAGCCAGAAATTGTATTTATTTTCTAGCTTCCTGATTCAATGAAGTCCCCAGGCCACTCATCTACAAATAGGTTACATTCTCTAGGTTCTGAGTAAGTCACTGGTATTTTTCTTTTTTATTGTTATCTTTATTATTGACAATTTACATATAAAGAGTGCACATTCCTCCTTTCCTAATATGGCTTCTCAGTTCTGCTTATACATCCTCCTACGAGAAGAACAAAGATAAGACCACTTCGTGTGACGCCTACAAGGCTATGAAGCAGAATGCTCTCTCTTGTGTTCGGTTGTCCGTATGCCCTTGTTTGTCTCCCTTTTTTTATACCACTCCGAACACCGACCTCCCCAGGCTGTTAACCACAAATTAAGTGATTAACTCAAGTGCTTTCCCTGGGTGGCCGCTATTCGTTTAACCGAATGCACGTGTTGTCTCCCAAACACAGACAGCGGTACATGGTCATCGAACGCCACTATTTTCGGTCATGCAAGTCCACAAACTCTGGCGCAGCTCGTAACGCAGTTCGGACCAACTAGACAAACGATGTGCAGGAGATATGAACTACCAACTGGGGGGGAGCATTCACTACCTAAAAGCCAGGTGGAGCGTTTGTTGGTGTTCGCACGTGAACCCCTGAAAGCCGACCAGCCTTTACCCTCATTTCTCTGGAACTCATTTGGGCCATCGCCTCGTGGCCGGTCAGTCAGAACTTTATTACATTTACTAGATATTATACTAGATATTATAGAAACATTTAAATACAAAAAGGGAATTGTAACGGATCACCTGGCACCCCGACTGGGCACCCCCGTTGAAGGATGCTCCTAGCGCTTCCTGAGGGCTCCACGCACTCTAGCAGACACCACAACCACCGAACCGTAGAAGCATATGAATGCTCTCAAGCATATGAATGCTGTAAACAGCTGAACAGGAACAGGAATACAATCAGCTTACACTCCTGGCAATCAGCAGACAATCCAATTCCCCAAATAACGAGACGACACTTCGTTTTGAGGTCAAGCAGAACTGCCTGGACTGGCACATACAGCCTCTTTTATTCACAATCCACAAACATAGTACTGCCCACAGGGTTTTGAAACACAGCCAATCAATCCGTACAATACACACAGATACTTCCACACAAAATCCTCCCCTCTGCCTGTGATATAATTACTGAACACAATTGTTAATCTAATTATCACAGGCAGAAAAATACAGTATTATAAAACACATCACAGGGACCCCAAAACATACAATAACCCCAATATATCATTGGAACTGGGGGATCTGGGTGAACCACATATCCAAAATTCACCCAGATCCATTCAGTACTTTGGAAGATACAGTTTAATGCAGATTCCACAGAACATATGCAGGCTAAATGAAAAACAATTACTGTATAATGTGTCCCTTGTTGTATAGTCCAAAACCACTGCACGATGTCTCTGTGCACCAAATACCGGCACTGTGTTGAAAAGTCCAAACAGTGTCTGTGAGTTAAAATGGCCGCCATCCATTGTTCTCACCATGTGCCTCTGATACATGAAATGGTGGCCACCCAGTAACTCCACTGTATGTCCCCAGATGGTTCTTTAAGGGCCAGCAGCAGCACAACACAAATCCATTATGCCCAAATCATGTCTTTAAAGGGCAATACATCCCAGGGGCCATAGTCATATGGCAGGAGGCTGGCAATCAGTCTTCTCCAATGCCCAATGGCGAGGTCGGTTTCGCCACAGGAAACAACACAGTAAAGGAGGAGACTATATTTAACCCCTTAAGACCGGAGGGCGTACTATTACGCCCTATTTTAGGTGGCTCTAAACGCCGGCGATCGCGGTGGGGGGGGGACTCCCAGGGAGCCCCCCCGCGGCAGATCCTCCCCCTCCGGCCCCCCCGGCCATGTGAGAGTGTGAGAGTGAGGTCCTTGCGAGGACCTCACAATCACATGGCCGGGATAGCTGGCTGCTGTATTGCCAGCAGGGGGGCTGCCTGTAATTACAGGTGGTCCCCCTGCTGGCTGGAAATAAAATTAAAATAAATTAATAAGTGTAAAAAAAATATATATACTTAGATCATATATGATCTAAGTATATATATATATACAGGGAGTGCAGAATTATTAGGCAAATGAGTATTTTGACCACATCATCCTCTTTATGCATGTTGTCTTACTCCAAGCTGTATAGGCTCGAAAGCCTACTACCAATTAAGCATATTAGGTGATGTGCATCTCTGTAATGAGAAGGGGTGTGGTCTAATGACATCAACACCCTATATCAGGTGTGCATAATTATTAGGCAACTTCCTTTCCTTTGGCAAAATGGGTCAAAGAAGGACTTGACAGGCTCAGAAAAGTCAAAAATAGTGAGATATCTTGCAGAGGGATGCAGCACTCTTAAAATTGCAAAGCTTCTGAAGCGTGATCATCGAACAATCAAGCGTTTCATTCAAAATAGTCAACAGGGTCGCAAGAAGCGTGTGGAAAAACCAAGGCGCAAAATAACTGCCCATGAACTGAGAAAAGTCAAGCGTGCAGCTGCCACGATGCCACTTGCCACCAGTTTGGCCATATTTCAGAGCTGCAACATCACTGGAGTGCCCAAAAGCACAAGGTGTGCAATACTCAGAGACATGGCCAAGGTAAGAAAGGCTGAAAGACGACCACCACTGAACAAGACACACAAGCTGAAACGTCAAGACTGGGCCAAGAAATATCTCAAGACTGATTTTTCTAAGGTTTTATGGACTGATGAAATGAGAGTGAGTCTTGATGGGCCAGATGGATGGGCCCGTGGCTGGATTGGTAAAGGGCAGAGAGCTCCAGTCCGACTCAGATGCCAGCAAGGTGGAGGTGGAGTACTGGTTTGGGCTAGTATCATCAAAGATGAGCTTGTGGGGCCTTTTCGGGTTGAGGATGGAGTCAAGCTCAACTTCCAGTCCTACTGCCAGTTCCTGGAAGACACCTTCTTCAAGCAGTGGTACAGGAAGAAGTCTGCATCCTTCAAGAAAAACATGATTTTCATGCAGGACAATGCTCCATCACACGCGTCCAAGTACTCCACAGCATGGCTGGCAAGAAAGGGTATAAAAGAAGAAAATCTAATGACATGGCCTCCTTATTCACCTGATCTGAACCCCATTGAGAACCTGTGGTCCATCATCAAATGTGAGATTTACAAGGAGGGAAAACAGTACACCTCTCTGAACAGTGTCTGGGAGGCTGTGGTTGCTGCTGCACGCAATGTTGATGGTGAACAGATCAAAACACTGACAGAATCCATGGATGGCAGGCTTTTGAGTGTCCTTGCAAAGAAAGGTGGCTATATTGGTCACTGATTTGTTTTTGAATGTCAGAAATGTATATTTGTGAATGTTGAGATGTTATATTGGTTTCACTGGTAATAATAAATAATTGAAATGAGTATATATTTGTTTTTTGTTAAGTTGCCTAATAATTATGCACAGTAATAGTCACCTGCACACACAGATATCCCCCTAACATAGCTATAACTAAAAACAAACTAAAAACTACTTCCAAAAATATTCAGCTTTGATATTAATGAGTTTTTTGGGTTCATTGAGAACATGGTTGTTGTTCAATAATAAAATTAATCCTCAAAAATACAACTTGCCTAATAATTCTGCACTCCCTGTATACACATATACATACACACACACACACACTGTATAGGTGTATTTTACTATTAATATATATATAATTATATATATATATATATATTAATATCAAATTACACGTAGACTGAAATTGATTAAATATATATATAATTATTGTTATATATATTTATATATAATATAAAAAATGTAATATGTAAATACGTTAAAAAATAAAATAAAAAAATGAAAAAAAATAATAAAAAATGATATAGATGTGTGTTATTTCGTTTTAAGTGTATTGTGATAATATATATATATTTATATCAAAATACACGTAAAACAAAATAATATATATCTATATACATAAATATATACGTATATATCAGTATATATATATGTATTAAGGCCGTTTGGCCTGTATTTGTGGGAGGGGCTTAAATTAATTCACTCCCCTATATAAGGGACACCCCTTACCTGACTCATATCGCTTGAGGTCGGCATCAGAATGATTTCCACTTCCGGGTCATCCAGACACCATTTTACCTGATTACTCCATGAGGTTTTCTAAGCAGAGCTGTGTCAGGAATCCAGCCACAGGCTTTTCCAGCCTACCACCTTCTTTCTTCAATCCATCGCCGTGGATGGTGTCCAAGTGACTCACAAACCGTAAGTCGACCTACCCGTTACGCCAGGCATCAGTCCCACGGCACCATGCACGGGTCAGGTCCTCACTTTACGGCTGCATTTTGTCTATGTCTGTTCTAAAACCATTGCATGTTCATGCATATCATTCGTTTAAACCCCCTACCGGTCTTTGGGTGTACTACAGGCTTCTTAGACATTATTGCATTTCATGTACAAACCAACGAACCACTGCATTTTCGCCTACACACTGACCCCTACCGGTCATTCGGTGTACTACCGGCTTCTCAGACATTATTGCATTCCATGTAAAAACCAACCAACCACCGCATTTTTCACCTACACACTGACCCCTATTGGTCATTCGGTGTACTACAGGCATCTTAGACGTTTTTTGCATTTTCATATACAAACCAATAAACCACCTCATTTTCACCTACACACTGACCCCTACTGGTCATTTGGTGTACTACAGGCTTCTTAGACATTATTGCATTTCATGTACAAATCAACGAATCACTGCATTTGCGCCTACACACTGACCCCTACTGGTCATTTAGTGTACTACAGGCTTCTTAGATATTATCGCATTTCATGTACAAATCAACGAACCACTGCATTTGCGCCTACACACTGACCCCTACCGGTCATTCTGTGTACTACAGGCTTCTCAGACATTATTGAATTTCATGTATAAACCAACAAAACACTGCATTTTTCACCTACACACTGACCCCTATCAGTCATTCGGTGTACTACAGGCTTCTTAGACGTTTTTGCTTTTCATGTACAAAACAATAAACCACTGCATTTTCACCTACACACTGACCCCTACCAGTCATTCAGTGTACTACAGGCTTCTCAGACATTATTGCATTTAATGTACAAACCAACGAACCACAGCATTTGCGCCTACACACTGACCCCTACCCGTCATTCAGTGTACTACAGGCTTCTCAGACATTATTGCATTTCATGTACAAACCAACTAACCACGGCATTTTCGCCTACATGCTGACCCCTACCGGTCAATCAGGATACTACAGGCTTCTCAGATTTTATTCCACTTCATAAGCAAACAAACTAACTACAGCATTTTCGCTTTTATACTGACTCCTATCTGTCAAATGGTAGCATTAACCCCTTAAGGACACATGACATGTGACATGTAATGATCCCCTTTTATTCCTGAAGTTTGGTCCTTAAGGGGTTAAAGGGTATTTTAACATACAATCAGCATTTCTGACCCCTACTGGTCAACAGCAAAACTGTCTTCACATGTCATATACAATTTACCAGCCAATATAAATTACACATAAGATTGTTTTAAACATAACTATAGACCATAAATTAAACTCCAGCACGGGCTGAACTTCAGGTTTAATTCACAATAATTTACATTTCACATCAAGACCAACAGTGGTTCTATCAACGCTGCCACCTACAGGTCTGTCAAGTACATTGACAATTTTCATGGGGTTTTACAAACTCCAAAACACTGACACCTATAGGTCAACAGACAAACAACATTTCACATACCAATCAGTATCCAACTACACTGCCACCTATAGGGCACTCGGCAGATCTCCAGTGCACTTGCATTTTGCAACACCATGTTCACTGACCCCTACCATTCAATAAGACATACAACAATTCACATAGCAAGCACTATATCAACATCTGGTATAAATACATATATTATTACACAGTAGCAGACGCATCTGTATATATGTAACTGGTAATATAGTTCACATACATTTTTCACAGCACGCTGCTCCCGCAACAGACTTTCCCCTAGCAAGGGGACATACAACATACAAGGTGGGGACAGACCACATTTTCACTTGTACATACGGCACTTAATGGGTTAAGATTGATACATATTTAACCAGTATGGCTACGATGTTTAATATTTACACATCATGGCACTTTACTTTTCACATATACTGTACGTATTAAGATAAGCTTGGTCTATGCCATATTTCCTTATGCCATACGGTTTTATCCATTCAGGTTACAGTTACTACTAAAAAACCTATACGGATTGTCAGGTTCAATACCATACTACCAGGTACATACACCTGCTCACGTAGTTATCCATCTCTTACCTTCCCTGGAATAGTAATAGTGTACTGGCAATTAGGGTTCTAGGGCCCAATAGGTATTACCCCCTTTTTTCTCTGCATTATGCTTCGGTTAGTGGTCCCGCGAGGCCAACACCCCGCCTCACACTCGGAGGCATACACCCCTCGGGCCACTCGTGAGCTAGCCGCCTCGCATTGTATCATAGAGAGGACCTCACCTGTCACTCCCCTTCCTATTTTCTGGTTACTGTCACCGAGAGGCCAACATCCTGCCACAACGTTCGGTGGCCACACAAAATCCCCTCGCGCCAAGCATAGATAGAGCCTCTCAAGCCACTTGGCAACTAGCAGGGCCTCACCAGTCACCAAAAAAAAAAAACCACCAAGCCTAATCGTTTCGCCTTACGGCTTAGCTAGCAAGCCAGTACAAGAACCCTGGGTACAAATAATAATTGTAATCTTTATTGTTATTTAAGTATTTCTCGAAAAAAAGATAGTGAAGAATCACCTCTTCCTAGCACCCCGGCTAGAAATGATACACCTTCAAGCAGAGGAGATGTTGCTAGTCCAGTAGCAATCAGATCCTGGACGATCCCACACATTACCACCGACCTAAGGAGGTGACAAATCCCCTACCCTGCTACAGCAAGGAAAGCAGTTATTCAAACTCCTCCATACATCAACGGACAACACGGAGGCAGGGGAAGGCCCAGCTACATCAACTCAGGTGACACCCAGGCTATGCTAGCTTCACTCATAAACTCATGAGCCAAAAAATTTATGACAGACTGGCAATCTCGAGTTGGTCACCACAGCCCTCACAAGGCTGGGCCTCACGCTACTGTACAACCAGCACCAACCGAAACTCGGTTACCTGGTACAATCGATTCTTATGACACACAAGATGTTAAACCTGCACGTATGATCCCAGCACATTGGGGAAGCAAGGCATATATATGTATGATGTATCTGTGATGGTCAGATCCAGGGATTCCAGGTAAATCGGGAACTGACCATCCCTTGGTTGGGTTGGCATTTGGAATATGTGGAGATGTTTATTTGTGCAGGTACCCATACAGAAGGGATTTTGTCCCAAACAAATGGACGAGCACTCTCAGGCTCCAGGTACCAGCACCTCTGAACTACCAGAGACCACTGATATGAGTAGTTGCATTGCATACAGACTGTTGCATATATGTTCAAATAGTTCAGGGCACATGACAAACCATGTGTCCCAATACAACTTACAAATAACGTATTCACCATCTGTACACAACACTACTGACTCATCACCCTTCCAGACTTGTAGTAGATTTACTAAAGCTCTGGAGCTTCAAAGGGCTCCCATACAGGTATCATAAACACACCTTCAAGGAATATAGCATGCCCTCACTTACAGTCAGCACAACAAAACCATTGGCTGTAAACACACTCATAGCCAAGATTTGTAGAGGGGTCTTCCAATCTCCACCATTTACAGCATGGCGCCAAACACACACATTGGTATTGTCACAAGGAATCTTCCCTTAAACAAAGACTAACCATAGACTTATTGGCACCACACACTCCGCTACCCCAAGTCTCAACTCCCTCATACCTTCCGAGGATTTTTCTTACTATACAACACCATTGATCTACCTTTACAGCTATCACTCAAGCATGGGTTGAAGCTTGGTTAAGTAAGACCATATCATCAACGCAGTAAACGGCTACCATCTACCCTACACACTGGCACTTACATGACATAAATTGGGCAATCCTTTCCCCGCTCAACTTTCGAGCTACAGATTAGCCTACTATCGATATTCGCAGATACTCTGTGCTGGTTATGATAACATATCCAGAGGCCTTACAGTCATACACTATCTAGAAGACTTCTTGTTAATCAAAGAAAGCATATTTTTCACTAGAAGCCTCACGGCAGCTTAGTCTGGTTGACCACTTGGGCGTCCCAGTACCCCATAAGAAACAGAAGGCCCAGACACTATCTTCACATTACTGGGCATATGACTTGAGTCGGCATCCATACACGCAAGTTACCACAAGACAAATAGGGAACATTCTCAACTACATCAATCACTACCTCCTGCTTAGTACTTACAACTGCAAGGAACTACAATCCCTACCAGGTTCCTTAATTTTGCCATGCCAATCATACCACAAGACCACGCTTTCACATCCAGAGTACTTTCCCCTTTTTTCCACACTTCCAACATGACGATCAGAGGATGTCCCTAGACACCTCAGCAACAGCAGACCTGCACATGGGGGGGAATTTTTTAACCACAGGCCAGAGAAAGCATGTTCCTTCCAGGATTGTCTGACACTTCTCCAACCAGATGGTCAGACGCAGCGTCTACCACGGGTTTGGCAGTGATCTACCGGGAACAATTGCTTTGGAGCTGTTGGCGATGGCATCCAGGTTTGGAAATTTTTCCACCACCTCAGCCCCTTTGGGAGATCTACCCCATTGTAGCAGCTGCTGAGGCATGGGGTAAATCATGGTCAGGGTCATCAATCCGTTGTTACTCAGGCAACTAAGCATATGTCATATCATCAACAAACGCCACTACTCATCCATAAGGTCATGATATTTCTGGGGAACTCACTTGGTTGGCCGCTTATCACATTTCACTTTCGTGTACCAGACGGGGGTATACATCCCTGCCAACAACTGTCTCATTTATATTCCAGGCATGTTCATCATACGCTTCCTACAGCCGCCCATACAGTCACGGCCACTCTTTCGTTACAGAGACAAAATCATGGATTAGA